TCTATCTATCTATCTATCTATCTATCTATCTATCTATCTATCTATCTGTCTATCTATCTATACTTATAGACAATGGAGGAATGCTAACAGTTGGCCTGCTAGCATTTGGGGCACAGCCAGAGAGTTTAGCCTATATGCTAACAGGCTATTTGTTAGCATGCTTCTCATCCATCCTATCTATACATACATATATACATAAATATGGACAACAGAGGCATGCTAACAGTTAGCCTGCTAGCATGTTGAATTTAAGGCTAATTAGATGATTAGTTTGTTAGGGAGGTTCCTCCATAGATAGATAGATAGATAGATAGATAGATAGATAGATAGATAGATAGATAGATAGATAGATAGATAGATAGATAGATAGATAGATAGATAGATAGATAGATAGATAGATAGATAGATAGATAGATAGATAGATAGATAGATAGATAGATAGATAGATAGATAGATAGATTTAGAGACCATAGAGCCCTGCTAACAGGCTATCTGTTAACAAAATGCTAACAGATAGCCTGTCAGCATGTAGCCATTTGTTGCTATTCCTATATATATATATATATATATATATAGACTAAGGAGGGACCTCCTTTACAAACTAAACATCTTATTAGCCTTTATGCTAACAGGCTATTTGTTAGCTTTGTTTTCCTTTCTGTTTGCATACGACCTCACACTGAAAATTTGGTGCACGAGATGTGTAAAAAAACTCAAAGTTTTTTCTTTGATGGAAAAAGTCCAGAGAAAAGTGAAAAGGGAAATGGAACCAGAGCAGTGCAACATGATAGCTGCATTTAAAAAAAACTACAAATAAGTAATAACAAATAAATTAAGATGGGTATAAGTGAGAAGGGATAAGATAAAACACAACCCAACACAGACCAAACATCTGGCTAACATCCCACAACCTCCTGGTGAATATTATGGGGTTATTATAGGGTTATTATGGGGTTATTATTACTTTTTCTCAGTGTATTTTACTTTCTATATCAAAGGACAACTTTATTTTTTTGTTTTTTTGTGTGGTTTTGTTGTTTTGTTTGTCCATGTTCATGTCAGAAAAATGTCACCAGAAAGAAAAATGTGGCAAACAGGTGGATTCTTGCGTGACGTGTGGAAGTGAAACCACACCCACACACACACTCCCACACACACACACACACGCTGTGTAGTTTCACTTTGTGTGAGTGTGTGTGTGTGTGTGTGTGTGTCCTTTCCCAGCCTGAAAAACACCCCGTTAGGGAAGGGAAAAAAGAAAGTTCTGTGACTTCTCTTTCCTTTGGCTGGCGGTTTGTTCTTCTCTCTCCATCTCCATCAGCAGTATATTTTCTTCATCCATCAATCAATAAAGATGGCCGCAAACATTACTGAGGTTTCCTTTGAGTTGAAATGTATTTATTTTATTTTTTTTCTTCGTGTGAAATAATTTTCAATACAAATCTTACACCGTGAAAATGAAAATTCACTTAACAACGGAACTCAGAGACACACAAAAAAATAAAAATCAATTTCCTGTAGCGTCCGTATGTGTCATAATAAAACTCTTGATATGACACAAATATATCACGCACAAGTGGAGACATTACATGGCTGCGTAATGGCTGAAAAGAACAATAATAAAATAACCAAAAATAACATTCGCATGAGAACACAATTTAACCCTTGTGTGGTGTTCATATTGTTGTTACTCAGCCAGTGTTTTTGCATTTTGTAGCTTTTAATGCCTTAAAATCACTTTTATATTAAAACACTTTTATATTAAAATACTGAACAGATGTTTACCTTATCTTAACTTCTCTCTTTCATCCAAAATCAACCTTTTGGCCATCTTAATCGGTTATAAGAAACCACTCTGGCAAAGCTGTGCCAGTGTGGCCCCGCCCCCAATTTTTAGCAGATAGACAGAAAATTAAATAAAATCAAAATTAATAATTATAAATGAAAATAAAATAAAAAATTTAATTAAATTAAAATGAATAATTACTAATTAAAATAAGATTAAAAAAATAATCAAAATTCAATTAAAATTAATAATAATAAATCAAAATAAAAAATAAAAAAAATAATTTAATTAAATTTTAATTAAAGACAGAGGGTCAAATGTGCGAGAAATTTAGAGCAGACAAACAATATGTGGAACTGTTTCTATTATATGTAATAGAAATGTGTAGGGGGGTGTACGGTGTGTGGGCATTAAATATGAATTCTGATATACAGGACTGTCTCAGAAAATTAGAATATTGTGATAAAGTTCTTTATTTTCTGTAATGCAATTAAAAAACATGAAATGTCATACATTCTGGATTCATTACAAATCAACTGAAATATCGCAAGCCTTTTATTGTTTTAATATCGCTGATTATGGCTCACAGCTTAAGAAACCCAAATATCCTATCTCAAAATTTTAGAATATCGGATTTTTGAGTTTTCTTCAGTAATATTAAAACAATAAAAGGCTTGCGATATTTCAGTTGATTTGTAATGAATCCAGAATGTGTGACATTTCATGATTTTTAATTGCATTACAGAAAATAAAGAACTTTATCACCATATTCTAATTTTCTGAGACAGTCCTGTATGTTCTTGAAAGAAAAAATGAGCCAAAGCCAGTGAGTCTCAGTTTGAAAAATTCATTCATCGTATCATTTTTTCTTTTTTAGTAAAAAATGAAAACACCACGCGAGGGTTAAACGAGCCGCGCGTGCCGCTCTCAGAGTGACGTCACTGGAGTTTCCCTCGTGCACGAGCCCGGGGCATAAATACTACCGGGACCTGCCCTCGTGCGCACATCCCAGTAGCGCGCGCACACCAGAAAACAGCCTCCACGCGCTCTCGTTTTGGACTCGTGCACGCAGCTTTTTATGGCGGGATACACGGCCACGGCGCGCGACCCGGAGGCCCCGGGGGCCCCGGAGGAAAAGCGCCGGTCCGCGGGCCGGATGTGGACCGCGCTGGGGGGGGTGGCGGTCCTGGGCCTCTGCCTGGGGGGGGTCCTGCTGTTGGCCTGCTACTGGAACAGAAACCCGGACCGGAAGGTAAGAGTCCTGAGGATTAAACTGTGGTTAAACTATGGTGAATCTATGCTTAAATTATGGTTAAACTGTGG